ACACACACACACACACACACACACACACACACACACACACACACACACACACACACACATATACACACACACCACACACCACGCTTTAATCTGCCACCGCGGACGTGCAGGTAGACAACAGTGTAAGTGGACCTACAGCAGCGGAAGCAAAGGCAGACAAAGACTTTTTTTTTCCCTCTCTCTCTCTCTCTCTCTCTCTCTCTCTCTCTCTCTCTATCTATCTATCTATCTATCTATCTATCTATCTATCTATCTATCTATCTATCTCTCTCTCTCTCTCTCTCTCTCTCTCTCTTTCTCTTTGGTAATGGCACTCACGTCGAGGAGCGGATGCAGAGTATTGGAAGAACGGATGCCGACACGTCGAGCAGCGTGGGAAGAGTGCACGTCAAAAAAGCGCAAATGTCGGCAAGTCTAGCAGCAGACGTAGAACAACATGGGGGTGTTGGCACGTCAAGCAGTGGACGTATAGCACCGGGAGCAATGTCGGATAAACGTGAAACTCTCCTCCTTCCCTCTTCCCGCCCGCCTAACTGCTTAGCTCCACCAAATCGGTGAGCTCACCGTGTGATTGTTGTCAGATGCATCCAAGTCGGGCCGTAATTAAGGTCCAATGCATTCAAGAAGGCATTGGCGTGAGTTCACCCCTCCCTCCCACTTTCCTCCCCCTCCCTCCCGCCCACTGTACTGCTAAGGTGAACTTATATTCCAGTCCCTCCTCACTCGGGACGTGATTGCGGTCATATGCATAGAAGCCTGGTCGTAATTCAGGTTGTGTACGTGTCTTCGCGCCCGTACCACCAAGAAACTTGTGCAGTCTAAACGTCGTGTCTGTGCAGTCCTATATTTTGTTGTCGAAAGTCCCAAAACAGAAAGAAAAAAAAAAAAGTCCCTGATTTGTTTTTATTTTTATTTTTTTATTTCTAACTATTTCTTGAAGTCTCTTTAATACAGAAAATACATATGCCCCGGATATAGCTGAGGCTAATCCAGGTGTTAGTGGGACCGTGCCCTGGAGTTGACCGCAAAATCCCTTGCCCCACGGCTTCCTTAGCCGTTGACAAATGGGCAGAGCAATAGTACATTTGCAAATTTGGTAGATCCGTGTGACCCGCCTTTTCCTTTTTTGGGGGGGGATTTTGGGAATATAAGTCCCCATGTGAGTATGCCCTAAGACATTTCCCCCCCGAGACATTTTCGTCGTCCTTCGTTATACAAGTCATTAGAAGGTTCGAAAAATGCAGGCAGGTGCAGGCACGACACTTTGGGGGGGGGGTGGCAGTGTTCGCAGCCCGTCAGGGGTGCGTTTTCCCCCCTCGAGACATTTCAACGTCACTCAAATTTCAACGTCGGTGGTCGTCGGGAGGGTGGGCATTTTCAGGTTTTGGGGCTTAGCAAGGGGCGGGATCCGCGTAGGACCGGTAGCTGGGCGGCAGGCAAACGCCACGCTGGCGAAAATGGTGGAAATGTTTGGCACTGGTGCACGTCGGAATGAATAAAACGACACTTATGCTTTCTCTCCGTCGCGCAAACGACCCCTCAACACGTTCGCACAAACGGTGCCCTCGACACGTTCGCGCAAACGGTATCCTTGGACCTTGTAAGGTTGGCGCATGCACTGTTGGCTGTTGCGTTGCTCTCTCTCTCTCTCTCTCTCTCTCTCTAGACATGCACGCACACACACACACACACATTGATAAAATGTTTCAAATCGAATGAATCTTCTGCTACAACATGGAAATATACACTAGTAAACTTGTGTGTAGCAGTGTATATGTCCATGTTGTAGCGGAAGATTAATTCCATCTTGGTTATTCTATCAATGAAAGTAGCGTGAGGCCAGCAACTGGGTTGAAGGCACAAACGTTATTAGCTATTGCGTTGCTTATCCTATCGATGAATCTCTCT